AGGTTTACTTTTTATCTACATTACTTCCAATATCATCCAGCATCAGTTTGAAATATTAAGACATGTCCTCACTAACCTGAAAATGAAATAATTTTGTATGAGAAATCTTTAAAAACTGGGACAGAAAACAAAAGCAACTGTTAAATGTGCACCAAAGTTTTTGAAAGACTAAAGAACAAAATTTGTATAAAATCATTACATTTTTTATTACAAATTATTAAACATTTCTATAAACAAATTCCAAGTTTATTGAATCATACATTTTTTACATATGAGTGAACTCAAACACATATCAACATGATGTTAATTAATGAATAGTCTATGCATAATGTGGGTATTCTGCTTCTTCAGGACTTTTCTCATATAGATCCTTTGACATAATATCAGTCGATCTGTAAAAGTGAACATATATTCAGATGACAAGATGTATCCACATTTCGTATATTTGACTGTGTATCAAACCAGCTGAAAAATGAATAATATATCCTATCCAGGTTTTTCCCCCTTAACCCAGGTGAAAAAAAGATGGGAAAACTTTCCTACTGTTTTCTAAATGTATGAACACTTGTTGGAAACTTGAATTCTGAGTATTTGCATTTTTCCGTTTGATACTTAAAAACACCAGTCAAAGATTAGTATCTTTTTTGAACACACAGATCTTTGATCATACATTTTTATGATACATGTGTACTTATTGCTGTTTGCTTGTTACTTTATTTAGTTTTTGCTGTCAACTAAGATTTGAATTTTGAATTTTGATTCAGTTCAAGTACACGTAATTATGCCTGGATAAGCATGCTCATTTTAGGCGAACTCAATTTTCTATCTTTCTTTGTAACTTAATTATGGTGACAATATAAGTGATTTAATTGTATTAGTGTTGATAATATTAGCAATTGTTTTGAAATATAAGGGTCATATGATTTTTATATGATGCACGTTTGTTTTAACTAGTATAACAAACTTAATTAATCTTACATAAATTCAGTAGAACCATAATAAAGATGTCTGAAAGCATCAATATCTGCTGTAGAACATAGGAGGGACCTACTTTTTTTTATGAGGGGGGGGGATTATTCACTTCAACGCTGAGGAAAACATATTTGCTCAACCCAGTACAGATGTGTTCAATTTAATCATCCAGTGCATGTATGGAAACTCCTATTTTTGATTTACTGCATATAATTTTGTATTTTAAGTTAATGCATGATTACTAAACTAAGTGTACTTTCTACCCTAACCTATGAATATTTGAGTTATTTACAAACACCAGCTGCAAAATTGCTTCTAGTGCTTTGGTGTGATACATCTGCTAAAGTCTAGGGATCAACCAGGTTCAAACTTTAAAGAAGTTTGGATGCCAAACTCAAACCCCATTGAAGTGAATCAAGGTAAATCTGTCAAATTAAAGATGTTTTCTGGGCTAGTTGGCAAGGGGGTGTAAAAAACATTTTCATGGGGATGGGCACTGCCCTGGGAAGCATGTACCAATGCAAATTACAAAAAATGTTTAATAATTCAGTTTGGCCAGGAGCAGTGTCTTTTTTTAAATGCCTATCGTAAATTGCATGCCTGGGGTCCTAATCCTGCTTTTGAAGGGGTCCATCTCTATGACATACAGAAAGTGCTTTAGCAGCACCAATATTTACTAAGGAAAAAAAGTGGTAGCAAAAAACATTTCATTACCAGTTTCTTTGAAAAAAAACACAGCACACAGACCCCACTAAGGGTCTGTTAAGTATTTTTTAGGACCTTTGGAGGAGTCTGTGTGCAGCTTTTTTCCTTGTAAAAGTCACATTTGCTGTAGTATGAGTGGAAAACATTGCATAGAATGTGGCAGTAAAAGATTATTCTCCAAAAATAAACCATACACCACCACTACTCAATGGCCCTGTAATCTATTTTTAAGAAATTGCCTTTGACTGTGTTTTTATACATCTTATAATGTCCTCTGTGTGTTCCTGAACCTCTGCCTTTCCACCTCACCTCTGTTTGTTTGGAACGAGCCGTACACATTAGTTGTGATCATGTGCACTGCTCTATGCACTCTACAATATTCCATATACCCTAGCTTATCTCAGGAGGGTGGCTGTGTATCTACATACATTGACCATGGAGAATGAATGTAGCCACCTTCTAACAAGAAGCTGGATCACAGCAGCAAAAAGAAAAAAAAAGAAATATGGAAACAGTTTAGTGCCACTTTAAAGTATATTTCCGTCATGCTACATGTCCCCATTCAAATAGCATTAATCTAAACAAAAAATAAAAATTGCAGCTTACTTTTTTTAATTCTCTATTGTGGACCCTCCAGCAAGGAAAAATCCTGAGTACTTCTTTGTTTATATGGGGGCTGGGTATCTGTGTTTGCAATAATTAACCCTTTCTGTATTGTGCAGGCAGATCTTATCAATGGTAACTAGATTTGAACAGTGCCCTAACAAAGGGTTAAAGGTAAAAGGTTACAAAGTTAAAGTTAAAAAGTAATGTTAAAATTTTAGCTGAAAAAATGGGAATGGGCAGGATTTTCAATGCAGAAGAGACATGATTTGTCTCTTCTGCATTAAAGTTACTTACCTGCCTTTCAGTCCCTGTACAGTGAGCTGAGCATGAAAATTTGGCAATAGAAATTCAGCATTGCTGAAGCTGACTGCACTCCCATGCATGCTCAGGAGTGACATCACCCCTGCCCACCCAATGAGAGCAGCTGGAGATCGAGACCTTGATGCCAACCTCCCGGAAATGTCAGCGGCCAGCAGGGAGCTCTGGGATGTCACATTGCTGGATCAAAGGTGAGTATAGTTTTGCTTTAAAGTTGAAGTTTAAAGGGTTAGAGGCTCGGCTTCTTGCATTGTACTTGGGACAGGCTCATTTTCATGTTTTTCAAACAGCCTATTGCTAGCCATGACCCCTCCTCCTAAGAAGCATCCAAAATGTAGGAAATATATTTTTAAACACTTTTTAAGGCATGCTCCGTAACTGGGAACACATAACAAACATATAGCGGGGTTTTCTAAAATTCTACTTCAAAAGTGGAAATATGCTTAAGGCTCTAGTAGAGAAATATTTGATGGTCACTTCCTCCAGGAACAGCAGCTGAAGTAAAGGGTTTATTATTTATCTAACATTGTAACATAAAATAATCTAAACAATGTTTTCTTAGGATTTCAAAGAAAGCTACTGCTCTGCAGAACTATCAGTTCCCCTAGCTGCAGACAGCAAGTGCTGATCCCAGGAGTCCATCCCTATTCCACATTGACATCACTGGTATGCCCGTTTATTCAAAAAAGCCTGCAAATAGCACAACCCAACCTAAGTCCACTTGTAGACAGGGTTATGCTGCTTGCAGGCTACTTTGAATAAACAGACATACCAAAGACGTCATTGGAGGGCAACCCTTTCTGTTTGCAACGTTTTGTTAGGAACATGCAATGCCAATATACAGTGTATTTTCTGCTCAATGCTCATCATATGTTAATGTTTCCTTGTGCTAGAATCAACAAAGTACATTTATAGAATTTAAAGTAAGGGGAAACATGTAAAACAATAACAATAAAACTATCATGCTAAAATGTATTTCCCGTATTTTAGTAGATCCTTCCTTTTTTGAGACTTGTTCTCAGTGGCATCACTACAGGGGGGATATTCCTCCTAGGTTATTCCTTGCCCTCCCCTCACTAAATAAGCCGGCTGGGCTGGGCCAGATCACTGTCACTGTCAACACATTTTTATATGGGCACAAATTCCTCTATCTACCTTCACCCCCTCAGCTGTGATCACTGGGGCAGCTTAGCTATTGGGGACTCACTCCTATGTAACACCCCTGAGGTGAGTCTGCTGTGAGGAGATAGGCAGTGACTGGGCAGGACTAAGGAAGGGTTTGTGGCCACCCTTCAATGATCAAGCTGGCCATGCCTCCTGTTTCTGGAAGATGGAAAGCTAATCGTGGTCTTTTTGAAACTGGGAGGCATCTGGAGAGTAAGTGGAGGTGCCTGTGAGAAGCGTAAAGATGTAGAGGTGTTAAGAAGGAGGAAATTGGAAGTGGCAGTGGACCAGCACTAGAAGATGAACATAGAAGGACCAGGTCTGGTGAACTGGAGATGACTTCTTACCCACATCTATTGTTTACACTGACTGAGTGTGTATGCATCTTGTGCGGGTCTCTGCTGCTCTTATCTATCCACTCATTGTCTCAGCTCCCTTAAGCTTTTCATAAGGCTAGTCACTGTTGGCTCCCAGCACATGGATCCAATTAACCCTTGATACACCTACCAGGTTTACAGGTTAAGAGTTTGATGCTCCTTGGGTGTATACAGTATACATGCTCCAGTGCGCATGCAGTGGCTGACATATATCTATTTTTCTAGTCTCAGGGAGACAAGCAGCTTAAACCTTATTAACTGTTTACTAACCAGCTTACCTGTTAACATCTTCAAACACAGCAATATACTTCAGCCTTTATTGTGTGCTGCTCCTTGTGTACTCTGCCACAATCTGCTCCAATATGTACTTATTATTAACTCTTGCAAATGCATGTACTATCTGCTTGTACCTCTGCAGATTGACGCAATTTCTGTATCTCTATAATCTACTGTATATGACAGTATATATATATACTATGTATATATACATATGTCATATATGTATATGACAGTATATAAATAGTAACCAGTTATATTCTGTGTATCCAAGAAAGAATCCAGGCCTTTTTTGAAGCAATCCACTGAGCTGGCCAGAACTGTGAAGAAACCTTTCCGTGTTTGGAGATTAAATTTCTTCTCCTCCAGACGTAAAGAGTGCCCCCCTTTTCCTCTGTGTAGACCTCAGGGTGAATAACTCCACACCGAGTTCTCTATATGAACCACTGATGTATTTATACATGTTGATCATATCCGCCCTTAATTTCCTCTTCTCAAGAGAGAATACATTCAGTTCCTCTAATCTTTCCTCATAGCTGAGCTCCTCCATGCCGCTTATCTGCAGTATGCCTGAAGTCTGTGATCCTCTCCTGTAATATGCCCGCAGTCTCTGATCCTCTCCTGTAGTATGCCTGCAGTCTCTGATCCTCTCCTTTAGTATGCCTGAAGTCTCTGATCTTCTCCTGTAGTATGTCTGTCTCTGACCCTGCAGTATTTCAGTTTCTTATCATCTTCTGTAGTACGTCTGCAGTCTCTGACCCTCTCCTGTAGTATGTCTGCAGTCTCTGATCATCTGCTGTAGTATATCTGCAGTCTCTGATCTTCTACTGTAATATGTCTACATTCTCTGACCCTCACCTGTAGTATGTCTTCAGTCTCTGATCTTCTCCTGTAGTATGTCTGCAGTCTCTTATCCTCTCCTGTAGTATGTCTGCAGTCTCTGATCCTCTACTGTAATATGTCTGCAGTCTCTGACCCTCTCCTGTAGTATGTCTGCAGTCTCTGACCATCTCCTGTAGTGTGTCTACAGTTTCTGACCATCTCCTGTAGTATGTCTGCAGTCTCTGAACCTCTACTGTAGTATGTCTGCAGTTTCTGTTCATCTCCTGTATTATATCTGCAGTCTCTGATTATCTTCTGTATTACGTCTACAGTCTCTGATTATCTTCTGTATTATGTCTGCAGTCTCTTATTATTTTCTGTAATATGTCTGCAGTCTCTAACCATCTCCTGTAGTATGTCTGCAGTCTCTGATCATCTCCTCTACTATATCTACAGCCTCTGATCCTCTCCTGTAGTATATCTGAAGTTTCTGACCATCTCCTGTAGTATGTCTGTAGTCTGATCCTCTGCTGTAGTATGTCTGCAGTCTCTGGCCATCTCCTGTAGTATTTCTGCAGTCTCTGACCATCTCCTGCAGCATGTCTGCAGTCTCTTATCTCTTGTAGTAAGTCTGCAGTCTCTGACCGTTTCCTGCAGTATGTCTGCAGTCCCTGACCATCTCCTGTAGTATTTCTGCAGTCTCTGACCATCTCCTGCAGCATGTCTGCAGTCTCTTATCATCTCTTGTAGTAAGTCCGCAGTCTCTGTCCGTTTCCTGCAGTATGTCTACAGTCCCTGACCATCTCCTGTAGTATTTCTGCAGTCTCTGACCATCTCCTGCAGCTTGTCTATGTCTGTAGTTTCTAATCCTCTCCTGTAGTAAGTCTGCAGTATCTGATCATCTCCTGTAATATGTTGTGGTGCTTCTTGGGTAATGATTTATTAATGAAATGGGCGGTGTCTGACTCCTGTATATAATTATGACACAGCCGTTACGGCAACATAACTTAATCAATAATATTAAATAATATAGACACCTTAATAAATATACCACAACAATGTAATTTTCCTGAATTCTTTTACAAATGTGATTTCTTACCAAATATACAAAATATCTCCAATTTGATTAATAAATCAATAATTTATTTATATACAAAAATATTTATATATTTTTTTAATACAAACTAATTTATTGGTGATTTAGTATTTTCCTACACACGATCAAAGAATAACCCACAATAAATTGCAATTAGGTCAGTCAAAAAAAGGTATACCATAGCAAAGTAAAATAACAAAACCTTGATTTTTCAGCGATTTGCAAAATATTATATGTTTGCATTCAGCATATATTTCCACAACTCTCACAACCAAAGAGAATTAGGGAAAATATTTCTGATATTATAAATACTGAAACACTTCAAATGTGTCCTAAAAACAATGCCTTTACAGCATACCATAATAGAGGAAAAAATATTAAAACTCTACTCTACAACCAATACAACCCAATACGATAACTTAGCACTCAGTCTCCCTATACAGCATCCAATCTTGATGGTTAAACAAGATTTATGCAATCACTAAATAATTATCAGTTTATATCACCATGCATAGTACCAGCACTACAGCTCAATAAAGATGGTTACAAAGTTCTAGTAACTTTGGTATGAATAAAAGTTATGGTACTTGGCCACAGTATCTCACCACTCCCAGGTATTGCGTTCTTTGAGATTTTTAGATGGAACAGTAGGCAGGTAAAAATGTTGTTCCTTAGCAAGGAGCAGTCTCTCCAACCAGCAAAGATTCTCCTCCCTTAGTAAGCCAGTAAAAGTTGTTTTTCATTAAAAGGATTTTCAAACAAAAAGCTCTCTGTCTTTCTTTTTTTTTTTTTTTTTTTTTTTTTTTTCGATTTTCCTCTCCCCTCTGTATAAATATTGTGGAGATCCATTTTCTGTTGGGTCCACCCATAGTACATGGAGATTGGACAGACAAAGTATGCCATTTATTCTAGATGTTCTTTACCTGTCCAGTAAAGTCAAGTCATGTTCCCTTAATGAAAATTTGATTTCCTGCTTATGTGAAATTTTAAGTAATATTGCATTAACGCACTGTTGTCATGATGATTTTGTAGTTGAGCAATTGATGTGATTTTATCCAGTGACCATAATATGTATATATGGATACATGGATATATGGATCCCTGCTTAACCCTCCAACAGCTGAGTATATTGCTTAGTGAAGGAGTTTGTTTCTCGCATGTGAATTGAATCATTTTACAGTTTGTGTAAACACCTGAGGATTGGAAGTGTAGCTGGATCTATTCATCCTTGAGAGGGCCATTGTCTGTGTTGCTCATTGGCAATCACTCAGTTGATATCTCAGCAGATATTTGACTTTATTGATAATGAGTGTTAAAATTCCCAACATGTTCATCTCCTTGTCCTGTCTAACAATTGTAAAAAAGTATTGGCAGCTTTACTTGATTAATAAGGTTCTTTGGGAAGAACAATTCTCAAGGTCTCTTATTGTCTTTATGTGTTATTTCTCTTATAATTCAGGTACATACATGCTGTGTCTTCGCAATGAACATTTATGACTTTTGGTCAATACTGGCCAGGTTATTTCTGGTCAGGGCTGTGTGAACCCATTGTGTCTCTTTTTCTCAATCCTGAGAGTTAAATAGGCCATTTAGATTCAGTCAACATAGTGTTTGGTTAAAATTACCTTGTTCTTGTGTGCACCTGGTTGGTCAACAATTGTGAGCGTCTCTTGTTTAAATGGTCTATTTTAAAGAAAAGACACTTCTTTTCCTGGGAAATTGCTGGTGCTTTTAAAGTGTCGCACTGAGTGATATTCTGCGATAACTTATGGATTTTTATGTATCAAAGCCATAACAATGTCTACAGTCTCTGACCATCTCCTGTGCTATGTCTACAGTTTCTGACCCTCTCCTGTAGTATATCTGCAGTCTCTGACCATTTCCTGTAGTATGTCTGCAGCCTCTGACCCTCTCCTATAGTATGTCTGCAATATCTGATCAGCTTCTGTAGTATTCCTGCAGTCCCTGATCCTCTCCTGTAGTATGTCTGTAGTTTATGACCATTTCCTGCAGTATGTCTGCAGTTTCTGACCTTCTCATGTAGTATGTATTCAGTCTTTGTTCATCTCCTGCAGTATGTCTGCAGTCTCTGACCTTCTCCTGTAGTATGTATTCAGTCTTTGTTCATCTCCTGTAGTATGTCTGCAGTGTCTGGCAATCTCCTGTAGTATGTCTGCAGTGTCTGGCAATCTCCTGTAGTATGTCTGCAGTTTCTGACTCTCTCCTGTAGTATGTCTGCATTATCTGACCATCTCCTGCAGTAAGTCTGCAGTCTCTGACCCTCTCCTGTAATATGCCTGCAGTCTCTGGTCATCTCTTGTAGTATGTCTGCAGTCTCTGACGCTCTCCTGTAATATGCCTGCAGTCTCTGATCATCTCCTTTAGTATTTCTGCAGTCTCTGATCCTCTTCTGTAGTATGTCTGCAGTCCCTGACCTTCTGTAGTATGTCTGCAGTCTCTGGCTATCTCTTGTAGAGTTTCTGCCGTCTCTGACCATCTCCTGTAGTATGTCTGCAGTTTCTGACCATCTCATTTAGTATGTTTGCAGTCTTTAACCATGTCCTGTAGTATGTCTGCAGTCTGACCCTCTCCTGTAGTATGTCTGCAGCCACTGAACAACTCCTGTACTATGTCTGCAGTTTCTGACACTCTCCTGTACTGTGTGTATAGTCTCTTATCATCTCCTGTAGTATGTCTATAGTCTCTGATACTCTCCTATACCATGCCTGCAGTCTCTGACCATCTAGTGTTGTATGTGAACAGCCTATTTGCCTTTAAAAGAAATTTGACTATTCAAAAGAAATGCACAGAGTAACTGGTCAAGCTAGCCTGGATCTTATCAATCCCAAATAAATGAGTGGCTGCATCCTGAGTTCAAATGATCTCTAAAGAGTGATGTATAAGCACCATTATGCAAATATAATGCAAACTACAACACCTTTGACTACCTAAAGTAAAAAAAAGTTAAGAATATAATTCAGCTTGATATGTATTTTATTCAAAATGAAATAGTGTTATGGAAGAAAAAAGAACAATTCATATATATGACATCCCCAGTGACACTAATACAATGATCAGTGCTAATTAATATCGCTGACACTGTACTAATGACACTGGGCAGGAAGGGGTTAACATCTGGGGCAATCAAAGGGTTAACTGTGTGCTGTGTGTGTTTTTTTACTGTTTGCTGTGTTTTACTAGGGAGGCATGCTGTTTGTATCTTTTTGCTGTGCAGAGAGATACAAAACAGCATGTCCATGCTGACAGGGGAGAGACCTATGTTGTTTACACACAGATCTCTCCCCTGTCAGCTTTACCCGGCACTCAGTGATTGACATCCCTAGCCACCAATAGCGGTACAGGTAGGGCAGCCCGCGCTCCCCCCGCCTACCCGGAAATGCAAGTCAAGTATATATACGTAATTTTGTGCAGCCCTGCCACCCTGTAGCAGTACTTCTTCTATAGGGCGTCAGGAAAGCGGTTAAGCAGACAAGCTGTAGTCAGACAACTGTTTCATGGTTGATTATGGGATGAACAATCCACAGAAAGCTTGTATATTCAAAAAGTACATTATATTCAAATGCCAAAGTCTGGAGATAAGGACACTAGATGGCAGGTGAATGTAAGATTCTAAGTACTTTCGAGAGGTATTCAACTAACGTTCAGTACATGAACTGAACACATAACTGAGCATCACTTAAAGAACAAACTGTCACAGTTTGTCCAAAAGAATCATAAATTATTGCATTCATTTACACAACATGTCTGTTAGTGTGCTGCTTAATTTTTTTTTTTATAATTTTTATCAGTTACATTGTGCTGCTTAATGTTTGATGCAAAATCAGGTGGTGCTAGAAAGAATGACAATAATAAGACACTAATTTAATGCTAACATCAGTGAAAGGACCGTTTTTTTTAATACTTTCTCTTTTGGTTTTCATTTATATGCAGTAATTAGGTTTGGATTGTTTTTTCTGTCTCTGTAAGGGAGATTCATTACGTGTATTAAAAATGCCTGATTTTAGATAGTGTGACACCAATCACTGCCTCTCTATGCTTCTCCATACAATGAAGGAAGATCACAGCTGGTATGAGGGTCCAGCAAGTGATGTACAGCTGCATAGTGTGCTTCTAACACAAAGACTGGGCTATCACTGAGAGCCCTCAGTCTTGTACCACTTATCAGGAACTGGGAGACCCACATCCCAATCACCTGATTGCTGTGATAGCTTCTGATTGGCTATAACAGTGATCAGTCACTGTACATTCTGCCCCTGTATTTTTTTCTCCTCTTTGATGTAGGTTGATGTCAGGGTTAGAGTCAAGGTTAGGGTCAAAGGTCATAGTCAGAGTATAAGGTCAGGGTCAACGATCAGAGTTTATTTTAGGTATGATTTAAAAAAGCATTTTTAAAATTAGTATCAGTGTCAGTGTGTTTACAGTTACATTTTAAGATTTTTTTTTTTTTTACCATTTGTGCCAGTGTTCCTATGATAATACACAATCTGGAGAAATCTACTAATCCAGCCCTATAGCAAAGGAGCAGCAGCCCTTCCACATTTACACACACTGTAAAATACCATGTTGTCTTGATATTTTGTTGTATTGTATTGCATTGGTGAGAAAAGTCCAAAATAGAAAGTCCTTCCAACTCTTGCATAAACTCAAAAATTGATTTAATAATAATATTGCATAAAATTAGAAATACAATATTGGAATACAGAATGTTTAGATAATGTCCAAAAAATATAGTTAGGTTCTTGAGATAAAAATTGTATGTAAAATTGTGTGTGTATGTTATGAATCTGTAGGCTGCTTAGACCAGCTTCTAAAATTGTGTGTCTAAAAAGTCTTTGTTCTGCTCTATAAGGAGCAATTCAGCCCCCACCTTCTCCTAAAAGTGGGCTGGTTTTCCTCTCTGGTTCTTATAGTCCTACAATGATATCTGGTGACAGATGTATAGAACAAAACCCTTCAATCTTCTCCCCCCCTAGGAGAGAATCTGAAATTTAATCCTTGGAACTTCTAGTCAAAACTTCATTGACATTACATCAATCAGGGGGGATGGTGTGTTATAAATATATACAAAACTTATATATATAATCTCCCAAAAGTAAACTTAATATAAAGTTATATCATATATAAATATCTTGGAGTATGGCAACGAACAGGAGATCGAAGTAGGATCTCCCGACATCAGGCTCCTCCAGCCTCCTACCGTATGCTGATGGGAGGATAGCCTAAAGCGGAGAGGGGGACTCGCCTGCTGCTGTTCCGGAGCCATGTGGAGAGCTCCGGGGCCTGGACCTGTCTCCCGCAGACCCTGGTGTTCCGGGTGGAGCGGTGGATCAGGCTGAGTTGAAGGAGGAGGAGGAGGTGGAGAGCCCTGGAAGTCAGAGCCCAGAGGATGCTGGGCAGCCACGTGACCAAATGCAGGGGATCGCTGGGAGGAGAGAGATGCCGGCCGGTCCACAGGTGGACAAGTAGCTCCGCTCTCCTTTCTTCCCCCTCTCCCCCTCGCCCCCCAAATCTAAAACTCAAGTTCAATAATAAAAATTAATTGAAACTGAAATGGATATGGAAGTCGAGACCCAAGGGGGACATATGATGAGAACCCTACCCTGGAAAGTCTGCTGAACTGGATGGGCTTATTCCTGCAACCTCCCTGTCAGTGAGAGTATCAGACACCACCCCCCTAGAAGTGAAGAAGTAAGAGCTAAATGGGTGAGTGAGAGTGAAATGAAAAACAAAGCAAGAAAAGGAGGTGGGTCAAAGGCCCCCCAATCAAGTTCAATTAAAAAATATATTCCCAGGCAGGATAAATGGACTCCTGAGAGGCAAACTGGAATAAACGAAAAGTGTGTGATGGAAAATAGCACTGGAGAGAGCTCCAGATTATCCCTGGGAATATCTAATATAAGTCAGAGTTTAGAAGAAGCAGATATTGAGAAAATAGGCGTGATGGAGAATTTAGAAGATCAAGATTCACATCTGCCAACTAAATCAGAAATAGTAGAAATGTTTAAAGGTTTAGAAAAATCTATAAAACAAGAAATGGGGCAGGGGCTATCTAGAGTGGAGGAGAGGGAAGGAAAAATAAATAAACATGCCAAAGTGATTCAGATCTTAGAAAAATAAATGGTGGCAATGAAAAAAGAACAAAGAAATCTGCTATATAAATTAGAAGATCAGGAAAACAGGGATAGAAGATGTAACTTAAGGATACGAGGCCTTCCAGAGATTTCTCAAGGAGAAAATTTGATGGAAACAGTAGAGAAAATGTTAGACATAATAATGGACAGAACTGCAGCAGAACCCTATACAATAGATGGGGTGTATAGAATTGGAAGATTTCATCAAGAAGGTAGAAACGGAAATTCGAGGGATGTTATCGTTCAACTTCATTATTATCGTGATAAAGAAGAGATATGGAAAAGGATGAAAGGAAGAGCAGTTATAAAATATGGGGAAATAAATATACAGATCTTTGCTGATCTCGCTGCAGAGACACTCATAAGAAAGAGAACTTTGAAACCATTAGTAGAGCAAATAAAGAAGCAGAACATTCGATACAGCTGGGGGTTCCCAGCATGTTTAATCGGATGGAAAAATGGGTGTTCTGCAAGATTAAAGTTTCCTGAAGAATTGAGAGACTGGAGTTGCAGAATATTGATATTCCTGGGTAGGGAGAAGGGGAGGAGGAGAGGTGGAATGTGGAAAATGAGAGGTGGCAAGTAGTCCGGGGGGGGGGGGGTTGAGGGCAAAGGGAGGGAGGGGAGAGGAATATGTCAGCTGTAAGGAGGGGAAGTGGGAGTGGAGGAGGAGAGGGGGGTGTTGTTATTGCTTTTTTTTTTTTATTTCTCTCTCTCTCTCTCTCTCTCTCTCCCTTCTCCTCCTCCCTTTCTTTCCTCCCTTACCTTCTCCTCTCTTACCTTCTCCCCTCTCCCTTATCCCTTTTTCCTCCCTTCCTTTCCCCCCCCCTTCTTTTCTTTTAGACTTCTGCGGTGGGACACTGGGGGAGTGCTACTGGGGTGAGGTGTGCATGCTCAGAGCTCCACCCTGAAATGGAATCTAGGATGGGACTAGGACCACAAATGATTCATAGGCAAAATACTGGGCTAAAAGGGGAGGGGGATGGGATGGGGGGAGGGGGGGAGGAGGGGGGGATGGGGAGTTTTTAGGTAGGTTAAGACTCTGCAAGAGAATAACGAGACACATTAGTCTGGAGGAATCCTAGAGAACAAAGGGGAAGGTATGGAGGAGAGAGGGAGAGAGAGGAGAAGGGGAATGGTGGATGAGAGGTATGGAGAAAAAGGGAAGAATGGAAGAGATTCATTTTGTGACATAATGTTAGAGGATTAAATAGTCCTGGGATAAAATTTATGATTCTTAAAGTAATTCAGCATAGATTTTCTTCAGTAGTTTTTTTTAAAGGAGACACATTTAGTACAAGAAACAAATGTGAAGCTGCAATCTAGATATTAACCAACGTGGTTCTATGCAGATTCCCCTATTAAACGTGCTAAGGGAGTGACAATAGGTTTTGCGAAAAATATGAG